AAGAAAAGTAAGGATAAAGGACTCTGTTATCTCTTAAATTACTAATCTGAGCCAAAAGTTACCCTGCAAACTGACAGGCAAAAGTAACAAACAAGGCCAGGCTGAGATGGGAGCTAGAGAGAGACCTGGTGGATGTTATACCCAACCATGCAGCATGGACAACAGTGCAGCTTTATCAGCACGAGCTGCTTCCAATCACAGAGGCCACGAGTGAGTTATGTGAATCCTCCTGAACCCCTGCCAAGCAAAACTGTACAGCCTCCACTGAACAGTGGTGTAACTGGAGGAAAAATGAAGCATTTATCTGGCAAGTGCTTTTTGAAAGAGAGCATGGCTGTCAGGGGCTGCTCGAGGAGCTGGAATGCTAGAGATGGTTCCAGAGGGATGGAGCAGCCATGAGCGCCTAAGAGACAGGCAGGGATTTTTAATAAAATGCAGTTTATCACATGGTGATTACCACCTCCTATTTATACCACATGAGTTCATGAAAAACATGGCACATATTCCTTTACTCCTGGAAACACGAAGTCAACCCAACAACCATGTGATAAATTGGCCCTTTTCATGCACTTTGTACTTTGTCTTTCCAAACCTCTATTTCCAAACATCTGTCACTTAGACTGGCAAATAAAAATCTGCTGGAATAGTAACTTGTGTGCCTTCCTCTCCCCCAGATCAACACTACAGTAGATTAGGATTACGAATCCAAATTCCAGGCTGTTCCACTCAACATGTAAACCTTAACTATTCACAAGGAAGGACAGATGGTCTAAGGATATAAGAAGTAAGAAAGAGAATTTTAGAGTCTCCAGGAAATGCTTCATCTATTTCTAACTTCTGCTGGCTCTACACAAGAGACACTACAGACACAATGTGCCAAGATATAAAGAAAAAAGTATTTCAGGTAAGCTGTTCTGCCTTGTAGAGCACACCTTTTCCTGCTCCCCTTCAAATGTGGTTTGAAAGGCTTAGGGAGAGGAAATTCCACATTATTTCCATGCTAAGATTCCACAGCTGAGTTTGGGATAACTCTGTGAAAGCCTTCATTAGCACTCCTTGAGAATGACTTGTAGAACTTGCTTGTAGCTTTGCCAGTTATGAGTAATGCAACAATCCCTGAGACACTTCTGTGCCACATTTCCTTCACACATTGCCTGATGTCTGCTGGACTCAGCCTTCCTGTGAGGGATCCCACTGCCTCCAGACAGGGAATCCCTGCCACCACAGGCCTGTGAGATGCCACACCGTTATCTTTACTTCATGGAAATTCTCCATTTCTGTTGAGATGCTCTACAGCTGATCTGAACACAGCTGATCTGCAGGGAAAAAAAATCTATTGCCCCCAATCTTTTGCTTATTAACCAAAGTCTCAACAGCACAAACTGCAAAAATAATACCACAAAGGTATAGCTCCTGTGTGTGACTGCAGCTCCACAATCACTAAATCCAGGTCTGTGCATTGCTGGATCCCCCAGGAGCACAAATTTCATCGGGATCAGGCCAAGGCATGTGATCAGGCTGCTGCTGAATGAGCCAGAGCTCAGGATGTAGGGCCAAGCCCAATCCTGCTCTGGCCAGGAGCCAGGCACAGGGGTGCAGACGATACCTGATCTGGCTGGAGCTCAGCACACTGACACCTGAGCCGGCATAAAGTCTGCTGGTAAAAAGTTAACCTGTCAAAAACTTCTTGAATTAACTCAAGCAGGCAGGGTGAATGAATACCAGGTCAGAGCTTCACATCATGTGGCCACCCCATTTTGGAGCCAATAATAGGAGCTGCACTGCTGGCTGTTGTTGCTCTGCCAAACCACAGCCAAATGTTGATAGTGATGTTTATATGCATGGGGAACTCAGTGCAGGATCAGGGCCTCAGAGTCCTTCAACTCGCCTTGCCTCCAACTTAAAGCAAAAAGGAAGGAAAAAAGCAGAGTGAAACCTAAATGTTTAACCTCTAAGTAGTCAACAGAATCCACTAATATGGAATCTGAATGTGAAGGCAGACCCATGACTGCTTCTGCTTCTGCAGCAAATAAATTTAAATGATGATTAAAATAAAGCCTATTCCTTCAGGTTAGTGAAGACATCAGTACAGCAAACTGATGCAGCAAAGTAGTACTTTGCAGTACTTTTGCAGTACAGCAAAGTTGATTTGTGCAGTATTTTAGAAATCCAGACAGTGTTAAAAACACACCCTGTCATGTTGAACAAATGCAAACTTAACTTTTTCTTTACAAAGAAAGGATAGTCCTGCTCTTTTGAAGCTGTTTTGAAAAGCCTTACCTGATCTCTGGTAGAACTTAAGCCATTTTTAACACTGCTGCAATATTGCCTAGTGTTGAGATGTGCATGGGTACCATTACACAAGGCTATAGACACACAGAAAACATGGTTTTCAAACACTCTTTCTTAAAATTATTGGAAGTCACTGGAAATTGCTTGGTTTATGTGAGTATCTCAACCATTTTCAGAGCTAGTTCAAGGAGGCCATCAGCTGAAAGCCATTTTCAGAAGATTTTCTATTTCCCATTACAGTGGCCCTAAAACAATCCATGCAGAGATGCACAGCAACCTTGACAGCTACCCAGAGCTCTGAGCTGTTTACAGCCCTGTCCTATCGCTCCTGCAGGCATGCCTGGACAGAGGGTTCCCAAACTTTGCTCCTCAAGGCTGTCACACTGCCTCATGGCCATGCTGCCCACCACAGCAGCCAGTGCTCCAGCAGGCAGGGGTAAGGCACCATCCACCCTCTCCTTGCTACCTTCCAGCTGCACAGACCCCTGCCCCTCCTCATAGGGCTCCCAGAGAGCTCGAGGAGTTACCAGCCAGCCCAGCATGGCCTTGGCAAACCTCAGTGCAGAGGTGGCCCAGTGGCAGATATGGGGTGAAGCGAGGGGGCTGGCTTCTGTACTGAGCTGGAGTCTCCAGCTGTGCCAGGGCAGATTTAGGTTGGACATTAGGAGGAATTACTTCACAGAAAGGTGATTACACAGTGGAATGGGCTGCCCAGGGAGGAGGTGGAGTCACCGTCCCTGGAGGTGTTTAAGGAAGACTGGATGTGGCACTCAGTGCCATGGTCTGGCTGGCCTGGTGGTGTCTGGTCACAGGCTGGACTCGATGATCTCAGAGGTCTTTTCCCACCTAACTGGGTATGTGATTCTGTGAAGCAGTGCTGCTTTCTACAGCCTTGCCACCCCTGCCCTGGTGGGGACCTGTCATCCATGGGTGACAGCCCAGCAGCCACCATGGCCTCTCTGCACTGACAGGGCAGGAATGAGGATCAGTAATGCATCAAGCCAATCCAGCAGGCCAAGGGAGTGACCCAGCCCCTTTACTCAGGTCTAGTGTAATGCATCCAGTTTTGGGCTCCTCGCTACTAGAGAGTCCTGGAGAAGGTCCAGTGAAGAGTGACACAGAGAATGAGGGGACTGGAGCATTGCTATTGAGAGAAAAGGCTGAGAAAATTGGGCCTGTTCAGCCTCAAGAAGAGATGACTGAGAAAAGACCTCATCAATATAAGTGTCTTAAGGATGAGTCAAGAGGATGGAGCCAGGCTCTTCTCAGTGGCACCAAGCAATAGGACAAGAGTCGACAGGTACAAACTGACGCACAGAAGTTCCTTCTGACCACAAGGAACAACTTCTCTCCTGTGCGGGTGCCCATGCACTGCGCCACACTGCCCACAGAGGTTGTGGCGCCTCCCTCTCTGTACACTCAAGGGTCGTCTGGATGCCACCGTGTGCCATGTGCTGGGGCCGGGCCGGGTCCTGGTGACCTCTGAGGCCGCTCGGGCCGAGCCCCGGTAACCGCTGA